CCTAAAATAGACAAAAACATAAATAAGTACTAAAACAGGAAAATAAAGACAGATGAATGGACTAAAATACCCTAACTTAGGTGTTAAAATGCGTCATATTTGAGCACTCATCAATTGTGACTGGTCAATTAGAAGTTCACAAAAAGATGAGCAATCAAAAGATTTTGTTAGTTTTGTTGTTAATGCTAATATACATGGTCTTTGATGATTCTGTTGGAGTAAAAAGGAATCATTCAAAGAGAAAGCAAAAGCGACACAGAAGTTAAGGATGGGGAAGATCTCAGAGAGAGGAGAAAAAACCAAAGGAAAAGACATTATGGGTAGTAAAGGGTTATTTTTGTCATTTTATTTATGAATATATAAGAGTAGAGCACTGAGTACAAATTCTTAATGCCAATATCAGCTCCTTTTGATTTGTTTCGAGTATTTATTTATTTAGTTAAGTGGACTTGCTTTGAGAAAAAAAAAAAAAAAGGAAGAAGAAGAAGAAAAAGAAGAAGAAGAAGAAGAAGAAGAAAAGTGGGCTTGCTTTGAAAAATAATATGAATATTAATAAGATATGTAAATTTTTAGTTTTTTAAGGAAAAACTCTAAAGAGAAATCTCTTAAGTGATTTCATACCTTGAGTCATTGGATCAATTAAACAACCATGAAAGGATCTTGTGCCCAAGCATTTTCATGACTAATAACAAAAATTTCTTTTTATTAACTCATTAAATCTCACATATAATCACATAAATGGTTTAAATTATAATAGAACCTATCAAATTAGAATTTAATCAAATTTTATATTATTGAAAAATGTTTGATTAGATATCTATTTATCGAAACAATCACAGACTTAACATCCTTATGGCCATTGAATTGAGTGGCTAAAACTATAAGTTTCTCCCCCCAATAAGTGTAAGGAAACTAGTTAAGTGAGAACAGTCTCATATGATAGACTCGTTCTGACATTATTAGATAAAGGTTAACAATGTTTTATTTTATAATGTCATTATAATAACCTAAAAATGTATTAATTTTACTTATGCTATGTTAGAGCAATGAATCAATAGCTTGGTTTTGGACTTTGAAGAAATTTAGTTAAAATTCAATTAATTCCAACAGAGCATAAACTATATGAAAGCCCTAAGCTAAAAATAGACCTCAAGTGGTAGGGTTGCTCCCGGTTGTCCTTAGGAGACTTGGATGGGGAGGCCGGAACATATTGTATAAAAGGGATCAAGTATGTCAATGCAATATTTTTTTAAGAAAGATTAAAAATGATAAATAAAACCAACGGTACCAAGCCCTTACTTCTCGAAGGGAGGTAAAGGGTTCAGCCTCTCTGTATTAACAAAAAAAATGCTGAATAAAACTTCCTTAGAATATGGATTTGAAGGTTCAGCATTTTTTTTTTGTAAGGTGTCAATTTTATTTAATTTGGGACTTTTGTGTAGTCCATGCTCTCCTTGAATTAATTAAACTTTATAATAATTATTGCGAGGTGAATCACAAAAAAATTATGTAACTACTGCAATTTCTCTTCAAATATACATATTTGATTTTGATATATATATCTATATATATATGGGGGTAAATTGCATTTAACCTCATTAACTTGTAGTGTATTGTAGTGAAAACCCTATTTAAAAAAATGTTGCCAAAAACCCCCCTCAACTAACTGGGGGAAGTTACTTTCACTAAAATACCCCCACCAAATCAAGGCAGCAATGGGTTTATTGCAATTCTACCAATTGTTTGAATTTAGCTACAATGAAAATGAGTTAAAACCAACATAAGTCGATATTGGGGAAGCTAATATGTATGCACAAACATATATAAAATATATCACTATAATCCATTTATCTTCACAGAAAATATACTCTAATCATTTTAGCAATTGACAAAGTCAGTAGATCTACACTAGGTACAACAAGGGATATTTCTGTAGGTTCGGATATGGTTTTGTGGTTCCAAGCCATAAACGTGCATCCTCACCATATGAAGAGACTTCTAGGAAAATGGCAGAAATTGTTGAGGAAATAAATGTGCGAATGGCAGAGGAAGTAACAAAATTGTTGGAAAAGTTGAATAAAATTGGGGATGTCGATGACTTTTCATTTGGTTTTAAAATGGTTGATAAGTGTTCAAATGTAATGCATTTTAGCTCCTAAGTTAGGGTATTTTAGTCCAATCATCTATCTTACTTTCATGTTTTAGTACTTATTTGTGTTTTTATCTATTTCAGGTCAATAAGGTTCAAATAGGCTAACAATAGCCTTTTAGCTCAGTTTTGGAGCTAAGAAGAAGACCCGGAAGAAGTCAGGAAAATTGCACCTGAAGGATTTTCGATCGATCGAAGGAAGTCCTGATCGATCGAAGATATCTACATTCAATCGAGATTAAGGCGATGCCAACTCAATAGATAAGGTTACTAGGTGTCAAAATATCTTTGCCACGTCAACTTCGATCGATCGAAGTAAGTGTTCGATCAATCAAAGACCTCTTCGATTGATCAAAGAGACTGTTGGCAGTATGCTGTCTAATTCCCGAACGCGCCCAGACTCTGCCAACTTTTGTAGTTGCGAATTTCCACCAATCAAATGCAGTATTTTTGACTTCTTGGCTATTCAAAGAGGCTTGTATATAGATTAAATGAACCAATTTGTAAAAAGTTCCTCTAGTAAATATTTTACTAATTATAAAAATATTTTCTCTCTCTAGAACTAGGGTTTTGGGAAGAAAGTAAGGAGGAAGAAGATGATGCCAACCTTGAAGCTAACCCTTGAGTGCTCCATGGCCACTACAATGAGTGGCTAAATCCTTCTCTTAGGGCTAGAGATAGCCCCTAGGTTTGCTTCTTAAACCTAGTCTTTTGTATATTTTTGGGGATTTTAGTTGTAATTAATGTTTTGACCATGAATAAATATAGATCTTATGATTTTTACATGATTTGTATGGATTAATGCTTTCAATTGATCATTTAATTCTATCCATATGTCTATGTGTGTTAGAATTAGTGTTCATGTGCTTATCTTTAGATTTTGTGAAATTGATGCATGTATATCTGTGTTGATATTATAAATCTAGTAATGGACAAGGCATGGTGCTTAATTGATTACTCTTGTGGTTTATTTGATGGTTCATACTTATTTTTTGATGGATTATGCCACCTCCTTAGCTTAATTAGTTTAATTTTCATGTCATTAACATAGTTGTAGTGTAATTGCTTTAATTTCCTAGATAGGTGAACAATCCATTCTTATTGTTTGATGTTCCATACTTATGAGTGTAAGTAGGACATTTCTCTGGATTTTTATATGTGTATTAATTGTGGTTTAATTGAATGGTTAATGGTCTCATTTGATAGGTTGTGCTACTCACTTGATTGATTGGACAATCTATGCTTTTTTGACATCCATGCTTAGTTTTTAATTGATGACACACACATATATTTTACAACATGAATTTCCCCATTAATTTATAATTGCTAGTGTTTGGTGAAGTGAAACTTAGTGGTGAACTCTATGCCCCAAGACTTTTTTCTTTTACTTTTTTCCATAATTTCTAGATTGTCACTTAATTTGCATTATTTTAATTAAACCATTAGTGTAATTAGCCAAAACAAACCCTATTTGATCATTTGACCTATTAATCCAACATTAATTTTAGAATACCTTGTTTTTCCCTAGGGATGATCCCTACTCACTCTTGTTACGTTTGTAGTTAGGACATCTTAACGGCTATAGCAAAGTTGCTTACCAAGTTTTGGCGCTGTTGCCGGGGATTAGTAACGTCGTATTTGGAATTAATTAGGAATTAGTACTCCTTTGATCTTGTTTTTACTTCATTTTACTTTGTTTACTTGTTGTGTTCGTTCTTGATTGGCTAGGTACTTAGAGCCAAGGAAAGCAAAGCAAGGGAACTTCAAAGCAAAGAAGCAAGCTAAGCTAAGCAAAAAACATAAAAAGGAAAAATATATATATATATAAAATAAAATAAAATTGCAAAGCAAAGCAAGGGAAAAAGTTAAAAATATTTTGAAGTTAATTATGGACCCTTTATGAGCTTTGTTAACTCCTCTTGTTTAGTTAAATCATCGACCAGCATGGAGCCAATTTATTTTCATAGTTTATCGTCGACCTGCGTGGAGGCAATTTATTTCTTGCATTTGTTGAAAGCATAGGAGTATGGGATCAATGTATGTGGAGGTTTGTTGTTGATTGATTTGTTGCAGAGAAGAAGTGTTTGCTACTTGCTATTTGTTGAGTTATTGTTTGTTTTGATTTACATTGTGCATGCATGGTCGTAGGTCTTTGAATCCTACTCTTGTTCCATTGAATTTTAATCTTGAATCAATTATTTGTAATCCAAGGGGAAGGGGTAATTCAAGTGAGTCCATTTCATCAATGGATGACCATAATGAGGACCGTGTGAAAGACCTTGGTCACATAGACCAAAAAGGTATTCTTCACCTTAATGTGCATCAACAACATGATAATATGCAAGTACCATTAGCATTGCCTAGACCTTTTGTTCCATAACAACAAGGCCAAGTTCCAATGGGAATACCAAGGCCATTCTTTACACTGCCTCCACCTTCCGTTGTTCAAGTAAATCATGGGGCTTATGTAGAGCCACCAATTGTGAATCATTCCCTTGCTTTAAGAGACCATTATGTGCCTAATGAGTATAATGCACCAACATGCATTCAACTCCCTCCATTTAGAGCATATCATTATGAGATTAATCAGAAACAATTCAAATGCTTCCCAATTACCATGGGCTACCTAATAAAGAACAATATAAGCATTTGGATGAATTTCTTGAACTGTGTTCCACTGTGAAATACACGGACATGCCGGAAGAAGTTTTGAGGTTAAAACTCTTACCTTTCATCCTAAAGGATAAAACAAAATATTGGCTTAACAATTTGAAACCTTTTTCCTATAACTTCTTGGGTAGAGATGTAAAAAAAGTTCTTAAAGAAGTACTATCCCATGTCAAAAACTAATGCAATGAGAACTTCAATTCGTGAATTCTCATAAGGGGGTAGGGAAATGTTTTATGAGATATGGGAACGATTGAATGATTCTCTTAGGAAATGTCCTCATCATGACATTCCTAAATCGCAATTAGTTCAATACTTCTTTGAAAGTTTGTCGGACAACCATAAGGGTATGGTTGATGCTTCTATGCGTGGTTCTTATTTAGATAAGCATGAAGATGATGTGTGGCGCTTATATGAGAGCATGAGTGAAAACTCAATGCACCGATCCTTGTCATCTAAAAATGGTAGAAATATAGGTGGAAGGAAGAATGTAGGCTTATATCAAGTTAATAATTCTAATGATATAGTTTCCGAAGTGAAGTTGCTATCTCAAAGGTTTGATCAATTTTTTATTAACTAAAACTTGGCCCATCAAGTATCTTCCTCCCCTAACCATACTCATCATCACTCCAATGAATCTTGCATGACTTACTCTAGCGTATTGCATTCTACTTCAAATTGTCCTCATGGATATGCACATAGTGTTGTGTCGGTTTGTGTACCGATTATAATTTATTATTAAACCTCTCGCAATAGTACGAATTAAACTCAAAACATTCGCTCAATTCGGGTTTTAAAGAAAGATGTTTTATAAAATTCAGTTAACTATAACCTATCTGCGGTTAGCATGGCCTATCCACCTGTCTACTCTAACTACTTTAACTACTTTACAAATAATCCATCTTTCCCACGCATAGACTATGAAAACATTCTTTTGTAAAAACATTAGAACACCCTTATATGACCTCTATTCTTATGTCCAGTAGGGCTCCGCCAGATACCATCCAATAAGATAGGTTGAGAATAGAAAACAAAAAGTTATATCTAAGACAAGGTAATAACAGTTTGTAACCTATTTAAAACGTTAAATCCGATTGAGTTGTCTCAATCGCTCATAGTCATATAATCAAAAACATAATATACATTAAAATATCCCAGAGTTAAGAACAATCAAACCATAATACTAGATTGGGTTACATCAGTGCCCTAAGAGAAGAAATAACTACTCATAACGATGCTAAATATCATCTGTGTTGGAGTTATCTCCATCGTCACAGACAACATTTCTCTTCTCAGGATCTTCAGCTTTTAAGGTTGTGAAAACCCTGAAAGCCACCACGCTATTAGCCTTCGAAATAACACTATAAAAAGAACTTAGAATTTTGGACCCCTTCTATCAAGGCTTATGCCTTATTTTATAGAAGAAAATAAGGATCCAATGGGCTTTTAGGTATTCTGGCCCATCTATAGTGAAATACGCCTCAAAAAGGAATAATCTCGTAACTTAAAATCTAATCTGCCATGGAAAGCTCGAGCTTTAAGAAGTCAGGCTTAAGCCTTATGGTTCAGGCTCGAGCTTTAGGAATAAGGCTCGAGCTTCTCTGTATTCATACTCGAGCTTCAAGAAATGGTGCTCGATCTTCACTTTAACACTTAGCTAATTTTCTTCAACTATTTTCTGAAGCGTCTTTTCCTTCAACACTTAGAATATTTTTGGAATTGAAATCTTTTAACATTGCTCGATCCAAGCTTCATGGGCTTGAGCACTAGGTACTAGGCTCGAGCTTTAGGTACTCAAGGCTCGAGCCTTAAGTAATGGTGCTCAATCCTTGAGGTTAGGCACGAGACCTGGGAGTATGGTTCTTTAATAAAAATCAGGTCTTCTACTTCTGACGCCTTGTGCTCGAACTTGAGGGCCAAGGCTCGAGCATCTTTAGGTAAGGCTCGAGCACCCTTAATTAGGGCTCGAGCTCTAAGTTATAAGACTCGAACTTTGGTGCCTTATTGACTTTTCTTCTTTTCTTTGTCGTAATGCTCGAGCCTCAACATTTGGGCTCGAGCTCTGGGGCTTGAATTCTTCAAACTTTACCATTTAAGCCATCGGCTTGCTCTGGATGACCGGCAACGATTCTGTAAGCTTTGATATCATCATAAAGTCCCAGTTTTAACCATTTCTCTAGGAAAGTACCTGTAAACACACATTCAACAGAAATCAGTCTAACTATGGATAGAAGTATCACTTTAGGCCTTAACATACATATATTTAGGGGCTCAAATATACAAATATTCAGTACTCATTACACCCCCAAACTTACATATTGTTAGTCGCTTAGCAATATAGAACTAAAAAGCCTCTTTCATGGGAATCACAGTTACATTTAGCCTATGCAACAAGCCTTTAAACCCCTTGGTTACCCCTAGTGGACAAGTTATAGTCTCGTGAGGGTTTCTAGTAAAAATACCCACAAATTTCTCAAATCAGTGCCTTAACTGCACAGTAGGCTCATTCAAGCCTATTTTCAAATCAAATTATCCCTACAGTTCATTAATTAATTAAATACAACAAGTATAGCTAATTATGTAATCAGAAATACTTTCAACTTCCAATTTTAATTTAGTGACCATGGTCCCCACATGTTAGTTTAATCATTCATTCAATAATCTTAATCTCCAAAACACTTTTTGAAAGTGTTCCTACAATTCAGCGTGTGGCTTACTGTCCATACTTGCATATATTCCTTACTATTCCTCAATTCACAGGCAAACTTTTCAAATTTCAACTCCTAAGGCATTATTATTTTTTTCTATGGGTATGTATATTTTCAAAAAGGATACTGTGCAATGTTCAGGTCTATTAAGCTTTCTAGATCACTCACGTAACAAACTTTCAGCCAATGACTCCCAAACCAGGTCTTAGGGCATTAAGTGTTAAAGCACCCTTAAGGATTTAATTGTTCAAGTAATCTAGGCAACCTAAACCCCTTATATAATAAGCTTTTGGCCAACGACACCTAGACCGTTTTAGGGCATTAGGTCTCAAAACATACCCCTAAGGACTTAATCACTCAAGTAATCTAAGTACAAACCTGAACTTGATCATTTTCTACTTCTTTTTTTCAATATATATATATATATTTTTTCATTCACATTGGTGAAGAATTTTTTCTTTTATTGCATTGCACACATACCAAATTTTTTCTATTGTTTTTTTTTTCCTTTTTTTTTTTTTTTTTCATACATTGGTCATCAAGATTATCAAATCTACTTGCTCATCTGAATCTAACTCAAAACAAAACAAGACTTCCAGTTTTTACCCCACAGAATTTATGCAAGTGTGAATATATGCAAAGTGTAGCATCTCAAAGATCAACATCATTAAATAATAACCATCCTAACAAAGTGGACCACAGGCTACCAACCAATTTAAATTTTTTTCAAGAATTCCCTTTTCACAATATCTTGGCATACAAACCATTTCTAACCAACATTAAACTGCTACAGAATATACGACAATCAACAGACTCAAACTCATGTTTATAACATCAACTATCAAATCATATCCTTGTGTGAGCAAAAACTTAAATTTTCTCCCAAGTACCTTACCACCAAACTTATTGTACACATTGTCCTCAATGTGTGAGAACAAAAGAGAGTAAAACTGATCACCCCTAAACTTAATCTCTAGTACCTGGTAAAATCAATAAACTCCAACACACATCAAAGTATCAAGTATATGGAGTAAAAATAGAGATATGTCATCAGTAACCCAAATAGCAACACAAGGAAAGTATAGGCAAAAATCATGTATATATATAAGCAAGATGAGTACAATGCTTTTAAAATAAAGACTTAGGGCAGATATACATCATATAGAAATAAAAATACAAAAAACCCCTCAAAAGCTAATCCATAGGAGGTAGAGGAGTATCTGTAGATGTGGATGGAGCGGATGGAGTACGGCGCAGTAACTCCTTTAATATGCCCCCTCAGCACTGTCTGTACATCTTGCAACTCGGCCACCCTAGCTTGTAAAACTCTAATCTTAGCCTGAGAAAAACTCTCAGGCTGTGCTGCAGGAGCGGGCCTCCTCCTTTGTGGGGCTTGGCTATTAGAGAGATCCATCTCGTCCTCCATAGCCTCATCAGCATCGTCCTTCTTCTCCTCACCATCCCCTACTATTTCAGCATCAGCAGGGTCGGTAGAAAGAATAGTAGGCAGAGGTGGATAAAGTGAAACATGTAGTATATATGGCGCACCCCTCGTCTTGGCATCTAAGCACCATCGATCCTCTCGGATCTCATCGTCCACCCCCCACTCAGCTTTTTGTGTCTTTGTTATATGGCTAAAGACATTATTCCACTGAGTGAAACGATATTGAGTAAAAAGGGTGACGGTCGCCTCATTCGGGGGTATCTGAACCCCTGAGATCTCCATCTGGCATGCAACTAGCCTAGGAAAATGGATATGATGAGTAAAAGGGCGTCGTGCCTCTCTCATCTCATCGTAGAGCCGGCAAAGCTGCACAAACACTAACTGGGGAATAGACACCCAGTAGCTGGTGTGGAATGCATAGTGTGCATCCACTATCTCTGTGCATCGCCCTATCTTATGTCTGATGGGGTAAGCATTGGCCACTAGGACCATATCAAGGAACCAGAAATGTCGAGGAAGCTGTGACTTCCAGATCATCTCCCAAGTGGTGGATTGCCTCCCCTAGCCCAAAGCTCGGACCATTGCCTCCCTAGTAGTGTCTAGGGGAATTTAAGAAAACCTCCCTTGTAGAGCAGCAGGGCACCTATGATGGCAACCAATAGCCTGAGCAGTAGTCTCGTAGCTCACTGTCAGTTGTACTCCCTCGACAGTAGCTGTAAAGTAGTCTTCTTCATCTTAGGCATCATTGCCCATATGAAACTGTAAGGAGCGGTACAATGCTCGCATCAGCTGGGGATAGGTAATCTGGGCTAGATGCCGTAAGAATCCCGACAGCTGTCGAGCCTGTAGGGCCTCTACCGCCCAAAATGTATCTCGATGATGCTGGAAGTCCTCTATCACAAAATTTGTCTCTTGCTAGATAGTACTGTACCACTAGGAATCATCCAATGCCATCGCCGAAGTCCGAATAATCCGCTACCTCTGTCGTCGCGGCATCGCTATAACTGTCTATAGCCCCGGTATTATAATCAAACAAAAAGTATCAACTCTGTGCCCTAAGGCTCGAGCTTGATACTTGCCGAGACTCGAGCGTAGGATGTTGATGCTCGAGCTTGCTGCAAGCAAAGGCTTGAGCTTCC